TTTTAAACATCTGCACAGAGCGCACGTTTCCAGAACTGGGAGCTTTTTATTTCTGCTCATTTGAACAGTTTATTTTATTTACTCTGATTACAGCACAGAGCAACGAAACCGGAAACATTCATTGCTCCCGTTTCTATCAGCTCTGTCGGGGTTCTTCTGCAAATACAAAGCTACGTTCAGGTGGGTCTTTATTTCTAACGAGTCTCACGTGAAGCAGAAAAACAACTTCTTAGCTGTGTCTTCTTGGTCTCAACGAGTTAAATGGTGTAAAAATGAAAAAGTTCAAGTTGAAATGCTGATTTTTTTTTTTTAAAGCTTAAAATGAAAATCATAAATCAAAGTGAGAATATATTTAAACAGCCTTTCAGCTCAGTCTTTAACGGACAGCTTTGAATATATAAAAATATTAATCCATTGATGAAACACGAGAACACGTCAAACATGAAGCTAAACTGAAGCTTTAAAACGTGTTTTAGTCCATTTTGTCTCTTTTTATTTGTTTCAGACGTTTCTGCGGATGTTTGTGATTATTATTGTTTTACGTTATTTTTCAGTTCCAGCTGGTAACGACGTGAGGAGGTGACATTTTGAAGATGTCCTTCAGTTTTGAACAGATTATTTACAGCCTCGTGTGGGTGGTTGGGAGCTGATTTGTTGTGAATGTGAAGACTTTGATTAAAACTTTCTTACCTGCCCTGATTATTGTGTGAACGTTCATGAAGCATCACCGTGATCCATTTTTCTTCCGTACGTTTATGTGCGTGATTCTCGTCCCACAGTTTTCGAGTTATTTCAACAAATCATGAATCAAAACATTCGGCTTTTTCAGGACAATCCTGCTCTGACTTTTGGTGCAACTTTAGCTTTTTGAAATATTTAGCCTTTTCTGACTTTTTTCCTCATAGAAAATGAATTGAGCTCATTTTACATCCTTCAAATCTTTAGCTCTGTTTACAACCTTTTACAGCTCCTTTCACATTTTGTTCAGCTTCTTTCAGCTTTCTTCTGCACATTTAAAATTTTTTCAGCTACTTTCAGCTGTTTTGTGCGCCTTTTAAATTCTTTCTGCTAACTACATTTTTTTGCTTCTTCTAACATCCAGCTTATTTCTGCAAGCTTTTTGCACTATTTCAGCTACTATTTAGCTGTTTTTATGTTCATTTAAGCCTTTTCAGCTAATTCCACAATTTTTTGCACTCATTTAAAATGTTTTTCAGCCTAATTCAGCAAAAAGGTGCTCTCTCAACTTCCTTCTGGCAATTTAAGCTTCTTTCTGCCTTTTTAGCTACTTTTTTCAAATTTTTTTTTTTTTTTTTTTTTGCTAATTTCTGCTTTTTCCAGATAATTCCCACTTGTGCTCATTTCTGCTTCTTTCAACCTAATCAATCAAATGTGTTCTTTCTGATTTCTTCTGCTAATTTAAGCTTGTTCTACCTTTTCAGCTTGCTTTGTAGCAAATGATTGGCTAATTTCAGCTGTTTTCAGATAAATTGAAGTTTTAATTGTAATTTTTGCTCATTTCAACTTAATTAACTTATTGCTGTTAATTTCAACTTGTTGTTCTCTTTTCCTTTTTTTTTTTAGCAAGTTTCAGCTTTTTCTGCCATTTCAACTACTATTTAGCTGTTCTTATACAAATTTTAGCTTTTTCAGCTAATTCCACATTTATGCTGATTTCAGCTCTTTTTACTTCTTCTTGTAGTTTAAGCTTGTTTCTGCCTCTTCTGCTACTTTTCAGCAATTTTTTGCTAATCTGGTTTCTTTTTTTTTTTGCTCATTTCTGCTTATTTAAACCTAATTCAGCATATATGTTCTTTCTTCTACTAATTTATGCTTGTTCTTTCATTTCAGCATTTAAGCTGTTTTTCAGCAAGTTCTTCAGCAATAAGCATTCACGCTGCCTTTTTGCAGGAAATGCAATTTCTCTAGTTTACAGACATTTCCAACAGTAATTCTTTAACAGTAATAAAGCGGTCGGTGCTGGACGTGTCCAAACTGCGGCGTGGGTCTCGGAGGTGAACCTGTTGTGTTTTAAAGATTTATTTTGAACCCAGGAAGAGAGGAAGAATACATTTTTAATAACTCTCTGGGACAACATCACCTCCAGTAGAATGAAACGACTGGAGAGAAACAACGAACGTTGAGAGTTTTCATTTTTGATTTACTGATTGGGTCGTGAAGAACCTGCTGATGGACCGGACACGGGGCTTAATTTGAGCCGGATCCTGTCGGAACAGGATCCAGGAATGCTCTTATTTTGACAGGGTGCGTTCCAGTAACTGCTTGCTTGGATCCGGTAACTCTCAGGCTTCATAACAATAAAGTTATGAACAATTATGACTGCCTTGAACAAACTAAACCCGGTATATTGGATATGTAAACTGAAAATAAATACATAAACACTCATTTTAAACACAACAGACACTTACGACTTAATATCACATTAGAGCTGCTCCTTCAAGTAAGCATTTCCACTTCTCCCCTTAAAAAAAATCTCCACCCCCTAAATGTTCAGTCATGGGCAACTTAATTAAAAACACAAAAATATAATTAAACTGCACAAATAAATAAAGTTTAGGTGGGTCATTAATAAAATTTGATTATTGAAAATACAAGAGAAGTGTTTGCTGGGTAATCACATTATATCACGTATCAAAACAACGGTGCCAATTTGTCAAGAATAACGTGATCAAAATGTTGAAAAGACAGTCCAATTTACCTTCATTAAAAAAAAAAACTTCTCGTACAACTAAACAACAGAGAATTTAAGTACATGAAGGCAGTAGGAATGGAGATAGTACTCGACGCGGGGCAGGGGGTTATAGGATTCTTGAGAGAAGCGGAGCGTTCTTTATTCACACAGGGCGAGCTGTTGGTCAGGCTTCTTCTTCTTGCTCTCTAAAATAGTTATTGAATCAAGTGTATACAAATGTAGGTAAACGTAGATGTTTAACAACCTGTTAAAATGCACCAGAATGCAGGAAATGGTATCTATTCAACATTTTCTGGGGGAGGACCCCCTCTCCACACGCACACACTGTTTGCATTCCAGCATCGTTTGATTTACAAATTAAGCACTGACCGGAACTGTGTCCTCCCTCCCTCCCTTCTTTCCTTCCTTCCTGTCTCTGGTTCTGGGCTCAGGTCTCAGGAGCTGCAGCTTGATCAGAGGTCCAGCCAGATCTTCTTGGAGGACTCCAAGGTGTTTCCAGGACAACCGAGAGACTAGTCTCCTGCGTCTTCTCCCAGTTGGACATGTCCATAACACCTCCCTGTGGAGATGTCCATGGTCCATCCTCCTCAGATGCCTGAGCCTCCTCAACTGTCTCCTCTGGATATGGAGGAGCAGCGGCTCTACTCCGAGTTTCTTCTATAACGAAACGTCTCACCCCGTCCTGTGCAGTAACAACTTCTATTTTGGTGTTTGGCTGCATCAGAGGAGGTAGGTCACTATTGATAGTTGGGTTAGTCAAAATCAAAGATGGCCACCATCATGTATATATGTAAACTGACCACCCAGATCATTTGAAGAAACTTTGAGTTTTTATAATGCTTAAAAGTATAGTTTCCTCAAATCATTGAGGTGGGCACAGATTAATCTATGGGGGCCAAGGCCACCAGTGGCCACCCCCCAGCTCCTCCACTGCTCCTGTTGGTGGATAAAATAGCTCCTCTCCAGGATCCGTCACTCCGCTCTGCCTCAGACAAGTTGAACCAAACCTCCCTCTGTTGTCCTCCTCAGTGTAACTCCTCCCCGCTTGAACATCTTGCATCAACAACATTTAGGTTTAATTCATTCTCTGATCAGTTCCAGTCCAGACAAACACTCATCTCCAGAACTACAAACATTCACTGTTCAAACCCCTCAGAAACGGGGACACCGGCTTGTCTCCTGTTTTTATTTGAGTTGTAACGGATGATTTGGCTGAAGGAGACGTTCAGGATCTGTTGGGTCTTTGGAGGTTTACAAAACAAGAAAAACACTCAAGTCCTCCGAGCTCAGTTTGGCACTCGGGCAGCAGCCCACTGAGCCGTTTGTTTTCCCTTCTGCGTTTGTCCCAGAGGTTCTGATCCATCACCAGCTTCCGGTGATGGTTCTGGTCCATCACTGGAAGCTGCTGGTGGTGTGTGTGGGGGCCAGAAGCATCGGCGTGTTTATTTAAAGGTGCGTTCAGGTGCTGATGGCTCAGATACTCCTGGGTTTGTGGACGTGATAATTGATGTTTGTCCTCGGGGGTAGTTTTCTAGGTCTCGAGTTTCTGTGTGTGTGTGTGTGTGTGTGCATGTGTGTGTGTGTGTGCAAATGAAATAATTTACGAGCATGAGTAACTTTTAAAGTCAGTCTAATTCAAGATGGCCACAATAAAAACCAGCAGAAACACGCTGTGAGGCGGACAGCCTGCGGTTTTAAGACATCGTGTCTGATTTTGACCCAAACTGCCACAAATCTCATTTTCAGTCACATCAGTTCCATGAAAGTGGCGGGCGATATGCATTCCTTCCTTCTGGGCCTTTAAAGTGCCTGTGACGTCAGATTTTCATAATTAATGTAAATGCATATTTGAAGGATAAAATTAATAACGTATTGCATGAAAAAATTTCCCGCCACTGAGCTGAACAGTTGTTGAGATATTCAGATGTGCAATAACAGGAAGTGATGTCAGTAACAGGAAGTGACGTCAAAGGGGAACACCTTCATGTATGGCTGACAGCAGAGAAGAATCTGATGTTTCTTTAAATTATTTTGAGTATCAGAGAGATGAAGAGGTCAAATAAGATTGTTTCAATCAACAAAGCAGGAAGTTCCCTTTTTCAAAGAGTTCCCCTGTGATGTCACTTCCTGTTTTACTTTGGCTGCACCGAGTCCAAAAGAAAACATGTCAGTTGTGACAAAAAGGGTGAAGTTGTTTAGTATGAAACATTTCTTGAATGTTGTTTGATGTTTTCTTCCACTCTTTGTATTTGCAGGAGACGCATGCGACAGGTAATTTAACTACAGGTGTGCTGAACAGTAACACCTGTGAGCTTGTGACGGGGATTATTGTACTTTTAGTTCTTTATTTCTGAGCTTTTAACTTGCACAGAAAGGCTTGCATTCATAAAGCTCATCTATGTGCCTGTTTTTAATGCACTGACTGGAGTTTGTTGGTTTCCAGTTGGACGTCTGGACGCTCCAAATCTTGTATCGTCATTCGGTTTTACACATCACCTCCTGAGAACAGCATCCCTTTAATGTTCCACCATCTGACTCGTGAGCCTGAACTGGGTTCTGTTTCCCACCCAGTGATGTGCCGACTCGTTAGTGGTTTAATGATCACCTCTGAGTGAGTCACTTTGACCTGAACGTCTCTGCTCCGTCTGAAGAAGTCCTTTTATTTTTCCACTCTTCGTACAAACCAACAGCGCGGACGTCGAGTCAACAAACGACCAGACTCCTGCGTGGTTCTGCTCGTCACGTCGTGCTGTTGCATCGCTCGGAGAGGCAGCAGAATATTTGCTGCAGAGCTGCCAGGAACGCTCTGATGACATCGTTTACTCACCCTCTCCTCAGTGACCCGCTGAGCAAACGGGCCTGATGGAGGCACGGCTCTGCAGACTGAGGCTTCCTCCGGCTGGACGGACTTCTCACCCGACAGCTGCTGGTGCAAAGCCTCAAGGAGGTGAAGAATCTGAGAACTCTGCCTCTGAGAAGCGTTGAAACGCAGCCGTGGTGCAGAGACGAGGGGAGACGTCCTGGATCTGTCTGTCATCCGCTACATTCATGGACCACTCCGTCTTACACCATTCCACCCCAGCTAAAGGGTCTGCAAGGTTAAACCCTTTAGCTGTTTTGTGCACCTTCTGAAATCACCAGTTAATGTTTGTTTTTGTGGCTTTTTAATCTGAAGGTCAGCCTGTAAATATTCAGCCCGATCAGGAGCGAGCTGCTGTCACTTTTTTTTTTTTTTTAATATTTAACTTTCCTGTCTGTTCCCCATAAAAAACATGTAGATCTCCAGTTCTTCAGAATCACTCGTCTCTGAACCTGCTTCATCAAACTGCCTCTGTTTTGGTCTTTTACTGATTTTTATTTTTTGTAGCAACTTTAGCTCTTAGCCACGGGGCTTTGTGGGTGCTTT